CCATGCTGCACACCATTGGAAAGGGTACCTCAATCCAAATAATAGCATTTTTCAAGCAGAAGTAGTTGCCATAACAGCTGCCATTGAATACGTGGCGCTCAACAACATCACACATGTGCAGCTTTATACAGACAGTATGTCGACACTGCTTGCTCTTGACAAACATAGTCACGCCTCCCCGCTGATCATACGACTGCAGCATATCCTAAAAGATAATCGGCACGCACATGTTGACCTAGTATGGATTAAAGCCCATGCAGGTAACATGGGTAATGAGACAGCGGATGAACTCGCTAAAGAGGCTGCTTCGAACCAAAATGCCAGACCGATATCAGTATCAGCACCACCATCTTTCCTCAAAAGTCAACTGCGAAATGCCGCTATCCAGTGGTGGCAAAGAGAATGGGATCAGGGCGGGCGACACGGGAAGGAGAGCGCATAGCTTCTTGCCAAAAGTAACCACGGAGCGCCTTATGGCAATTGCTCCCCTTACCAACTTCATTACTGGTCATGGTCCCTTCCCGGATTACTTCTACCGCCGCACCATCTCAACCACGGATCGCTGTGTTTGCGGGGGTGAGGGGTCACCGGACCATTATATCTTTCAGTGCCCACTCACGGAACAGTTCCACTTCCCGATACCAGCCAATATCTCAGCATTTCACAAGTTCCTAGCCAAAAACAGAGCGGCCATAAATAAAATCTGCAAAATAATAACCACCATTGCAGCATATGGCCAGGACCTCTGTCAACCAGAGTAATAGGGCTTACATGCATTACTTGCACTGACATATGCACTCTAATGCTCTACCATCTAATCTCTGACTGTATAGGGAGCAGAAGAAAATTGAACACCATTTTTTTTTTAGTGTAATTCAAATGTATTCAAATGTGTATCCATGGCCACTTATAACTATTAAATAAACTCCAGGGGAGGACGCAAGACATATGCCTGTTAACCTCTGTTAAACTTCAGGCGTCCCCGTCCTCCGTCACCTGTACCAATGATACATATTGTATTATATTAATGACTCAGCTTTCAATGCTGTCTGAATCTTTGATAAGTTCTACCAAATTTAATGCGAAACTGTTTGTTATTTATTTCTTGCATGCTAAAAATAGATATTGATTATATTAAATCACGTAAAAAACTCAGTTTATTATTATTATTATTATTATTATTTTGCATTAAGAAAGTATACATTAATACAGTCAAAAGTCTTTAATCCGGACTTGTCGGGACTTCGACGATTTCGGATTATAGATCATCAGTTTAAATCTGGTAAGATGGCATGCAGAAATTATAAAATTAAAAATATGAAACTGTAATCTATGAAATAAAGAGCAATTATGATCTAAAGGGTATCAAAATTTACAAAAAAAAAAGTTTAATATTTATCTGTTTACTTTTATTAAACATTTCTTTCAACGTGCGCATGTGTAAAGCATACATTACGCATAGTCGAAAATAGAAAATTGCAACCAGAAAACTATTTGATGTGTACTTGTCATATTTATAATGACGAGGAATTTGATTTAAATCATATCAAAGATGGAGTACATAGAGATGAAATACTACATTTAGTAAGGAATTATAAGCTGAATAAAATAAAAACATTTGCCCTGAAGATAAGGATAGTGCTGACAGATCAACTTTCAGTTCATTGCGCGCCGCGACGTCCCCCCCCCGCAGAGCAGCGTGAAATTGATAAACAGATTTCGGAATGGTTAGAGAAACAAAGGATATGCCTTTATCCATTTTTTGCAGCAATTCCACTTTTTGTTTGATAGATACCGAAACATACTTTCGCTTTGTAGATCCTTTACATATTAGTAAATACATATCAGAAATTCTATTTGACATAATCGAAAGTTCAAGCTTACTTTTATAAAATTGCTCTAAGAGTCTGCAAAAAATAATAAGCCAGATCTAATTAGAAGATTAAGGAACAACGCAATCTGCAACATTAACTGAAATAGATAATTAGATAATTTTAGCTTAGCTTATACTGTCTGTTATACATTAAACGTGCATACGTAAACGTATTATGCACATGCATAGAAGTATTACATGCATGCTTTGACGCATGCGCAGAAAGTTTGTAGCTTTGAGGTTCGGATTAACGACTTTTGACTGTAATCATTGCTAGTAGTTTTTATTTAGCAGTTTATGCTGGGAAAACCTTCTACATTTAAGCCTTTGACTACGAATTAAAAAAAAATATCCCGTTTTCTAGCCAAGTGAACAACATATGTCATAAATAAAGTAAATTTAGCATCTGGGATTATTTTGGCAAATGACTTTCAAGCCAAAGGCTGAGATACATATGTCCCAGCCGTGGTTAATGGTTAGATACTTATGTCTCACACGTAGCGATTGACTTAATATAAGGACACCTATTATTCTGCAAAACTTTAATATATAAAATAGATTTACATCATATGGTACAGGGTAAAAAGAATTTTTTGCATAAACCAACATTATACATTGGGCAACTCATATTTGTTTTTTACTCTATGTTCATTTGTGTACAACGAGCACAGTGGCATCTTGATTGTCCAACTACTGGAAGAATTCAGGAGATTAAGTACTTTTAACACAGCAGTAATTTTTAAACTTTTAGTGGAGCATACATGTCTTGTTAGCCATCAAACGGTTAACAAACAAGTTTTATTTTCAGATTAATTTAACTGAATAGAGGTGATATATTAATAATATACAATACTGAAAATGTTTTGGAAAATATCTGTATTGCTTGTTTGTTATTGGTTTTACATATATTCTTGTTGTGTTGTGTGTCATTTTTATTTATTTATTCAGTTACATTTTGTGGTAATTTTAGTTTCATCAAATACAAATTGAAGGAAACTTTTTTGAGGTGTTTATTGTTTACAGTTCCCAGATTTGGTGCCAAGTACAGCATCTTCATTTGGAAAAAGTACTTACTGCAGGTCTCATGTGAAGGTTCATGAAAAGATGGACAACAACATTTCAAATAGCTAAGCCATTTCTGAAGTAAGTGCATAAGACTCTACATGGTATTAATTTATGAAGAAAGATTACCACAGTAATTTTTTCCCTGCTATCTGGTGCCACTACTTTGAACTGTTTGCTTTAAATATATGATTTTCTTGCTAGATATCTACAATGCAGATTGAAATTTTACAATTTTATGATTTTTACAAAGATTTTTTTTTTTTAATTTTTGGGCATTTTAAAACTTTTCCAGGTATTAGACTACAATTTTAAGTTTCCAGATGCATCTTTTTTTTTTTTTTTTTTTTTTTAAATTATGCATTTTGTTTAATCCTGAATTTGAGGTCACTTGCATTCCTGTTTGTTTCATGTATTATTTAGTAAAGCTTTCATTCGATGAAAGACACTTTTTTTATAATTGTTATTAATTATTATAATCACATAACTTAAGTAGAACCAGAGATATCTACTGAAACTATTCTATTAAACTCGCGTGATAAATGTTGTCATAAAGTTGACAGCATTTGGCAAATTTTCATAACCAGGTAATATTATAGAAGTTAGCAAAAAAGAACCTTTGATTGGCATAGATTTTGAGCAGAACTTTGCTCATCTAATAAGACTCTAGTAGTGTGCAGCCTCACAGGCAGTAACCAGGATGCCACTAGACAGTAGTCCATGCTGCTGCCTCAAAATTTCTGGTTTAAAATTCTTCCACAAAAGGTTTGTGTATGTCACACAGTTTACATTTTGACTTCTCAGCACATAATGTTCAACAATTGCTCCCTTATGGTCCCAAAACAAAGTCGACATGATCTTACCAACACTTCCTTCAGTTCACACCTTCTTGGGTTTTGGAGATAAGTATCACCACTCCATTGAAGCACGCTTTCATTCAGGTTCATAAAAATGCACCTGAAGTTTATGCACACATCCATGCATCTTTCTTTCATTTCTGATGTCAAATGTGTCAGAACCCATTTCGCACTTTCTTGAACATCATTATGTAATGAAAAATGGTGGGTTGTTCTGACACTAATGCTAATCTTTGCTGCAATATCACTCACCGTAATATGCCTGTTTTCCCGATCAACTACTGGAAACTAAGTTTTTGGCTCAAGGGTATGATGCAATAGAAAAGGGATCTGTATCCAATTCCTTAAAATCAACAGAGTTTTAATTCAAAATTTAAGCCAAAATAAAGTTGCTTTATTGTTAAATTTTATATTTTACAATGACATTTTTTTTCTTCCAATTTGATACCGGAAGTTTCCAAAAACTGCACTCCAGAGGCCTAGGGGTAATTTTTCAGATACTTTTCAGATTAAAAAAAAAAAAAAAAAAACCCACCCTCTGTGTTACAGAACATATTGCTCAGTGATTACTGCTTTAAATTGTTAGATGAACAAATTTGAGATTGGCAATATTAACTGCACGTTAAGAAGAAATTTCACTACTCCATGTGTTTTCTTGGAGTTTTTTTTAGCAGTTTACTATCTCTGCAAATGCTGTATCTGTTATTTTTCAACAAGTATAAATAGAGTCTCAAATCATCTGATTTATTATTGAAGATCTCTACAAAGTTGTAGCAGGAAACAGGACTTTTCTCCATTTCTCGTCTACACTATAGATTCTACATAAAATTATAAAACAAATTTTTCCAAAAGTTTTTTCACCAAATATCACAGTTAACTAATTTTTTTACATTAAAGTTCATAGAAACAGAAAGATTTATGACAAAGGACAGCTTACAGCTTAAATAATTTTAACAAATAAAAAATGTGCAAGTATATATATATATATATATATATTAAAAAAAATTTTTTTTTGATAATGCAGTTGATTAAAAAATAATTCCACTCATTAAGCAGTTAGCCCTGAATCCAATCTACTCAAACCTTAAAGGAACCTCTTCACTCAACAAATGTCATTGAACTAATTAAAGGCTTAGTCAGTTAGTTACAGTTATAGGTTATGAAGACATGCAAGTGAATTATAAAAACAACCTAAGAAAACTACTTACTTTTTCATTTTGCAGACTAGTAACAGATGTTCTCAAATTTTTGTTTTCTTCTTCGAATGATAATAACCTGTCATTGAGATCAGCTTCTACCTATCGTAAAATTATTAGTATATAAGAACGAAAAAAAATTTCAAAATAAATAAATGCTTGAATTAAAAGTTGAAATTACAAACACACACACACACAAAAAAAAAAAAAAAAAAAAAAAAAAAAAAAAAAAAACTTTCAGATTAGCATTGCATCAGAGACCACAGGTTTCTGTTCAAAAACTATTAAAAAAAATCCTTTATGCTCGGCACCATTAATATGCCACTTTTAAATATGAATGCATGATAAAATAGCAGGAAAAAGAACAATTAAAACAACAACCAATTTTAGTGCTGTCATCTAAACAATGACAAAAACTAAAAGCAGTAGATCGCATATTACATGCCATGCTAAACAGTTTGCAGGCATTATTTTTAATTTCCTAATAGTTATTTTTAATTTTGAAACCCTTTCCTTTACTTTTTTGTTTCCTACCTACAATTCTCTGCCAGAATGAGTTTTCAGTATCATGTTTTATGTAAATGAGGTAGCATCAGTACTTAATGGGAAGTTTCAGTCACTTCTGTAGAACAGTTCAGAATTTCTCAGTAGAGCATGTTCTGCCTCTTGGCCACGTCGTTGCTTTAAACCAATCTTACTACGTTCAGCCACATCTGTACATATCTGTTAGTATTCGCTGGAGAGGTTTTAATAAGGGCCAATTCGGTTAGTTATTTCTGTACAGCTTCAGCTAAGTTTTAATTAATTAGAATTAATTTGGTTTCTTATTTTCCATCTTAAGTTAAACCGATGTGGGGGCTTTAATGTAAGCCCGAGAATGACCATCTGTAAATAATCTCAAGTTAAAATAAAAAGGGCAATTTAACCCTTCTTTGTGTCTTATTCTTGCAGTTGTCAGAAGAACAGCAAATATTCGCTACACTCTTCTCAAGTTCTAAGTGCCAAGGTCACTCAATTTAACTAGAACCCTATATTAGTTTCCCATGTCTCTGGAATCCAGAAAAAAAGAAAGAATATTCTTTTGAACAGATAATAACAAAATAATCACATTTTTATGTTGGAAATGTTTCTATCAAAAAAGCTATTTGAGGTTAAATTTTGTATTTTTTTAGCATTACACAAAGAAAAAATCATTATAATTAAGGGTTTGGAATTTTAGGTGTCGGGTCTACAGCAAAATAACAAGCAGTTCAAATATGTGGTCCTTACACACACATACACACAGAATTTGCGTAGGTAGCCTTCGGTCTGGTCTAGTGAAGTCAGTTTGTCTAAACAAACTTAAATCATACTGAAATAATTTTACAATGAGCATATCTTTAGAATTTCTGATACACAGTCTCGAGCACTGGAGATAAAAAAAAAAATTTTTTTCCTGCAGAGTTTTGCCATTGCTCGCTTTGAAATCATTGAGTTTGTTTATCAAGAATTCATTAAAGTGTTAGAAAATATGAAATCGATAATAAAACAAATTTCAAATTCCAAATTAGGGCTTAATTTTCCAAATTAGAGCAAAGAGGCATTAAATTAATAATTAAAATAATTTTAATAGAGATGCCCAAATTTGTTAGAAAATTACATTATTCAAAATTTGATGGCTCTAGGTACTGTTGTTTTATCAAAATGCGAGAAACATATATACATTTATTCAGATTCTTCTTTATTTAAATATAAAATAAATCTTTAAATATAACACAGGGCGATAATATTTGGTGGCAACAATTTGAAAAGTGAACCAACATTTAAAGTTTTCAATGCAAAATGCCAAAACGAAATTAATAGCCTATTAGAGCTAAAGCTCTTTGGGCTAAAAAGTCCCCAAACTATTCTCGAAATGTTCTAATACTTTCTGTATCAAGCAACTGTAAAGAAAATGCTTTAAGAAAAAAAAAAAAAATAAATAAATTAATTAATTAATTAAAAAAAATGCTTGATCTAAATGTAATGATACTTTATAATTAGGCTTAAGTTTGGAAACAACTTCATTTGTTTTAAAATGCCTTAGTAAATTTTTTGTCCCCTTGCATGAAATATCTCAGGGAGCTACCTGATTTTCTTAAGACTATTTAAGCCTCTATAAAAGAGAGGAAAAAAAAATAATTTTTCTAACACACTCATTGCTTTAAGAAAAAGAGGCATTAAATTAATAATTATAAAGCAAGTTGCAAATGAAGTTCATAATATGTATAATAATTTTCTATCAAAATAATGGTAATTTTTATTCCCCCCCCCCAAAAAAAATGACCAATTTATTCTGATGATACAAATTAAATAAGACCATGTAAGAATATACCAAAAACCCTCAATTATATAATAGAATAATTCAAAAGTGAATAATTTTAATATTTAAAGATTTTTTTTATCAATGATAAGAGATTAACGATATCGAAGAAATACAATTCCTCATACACAAATTAAAGGCATTTATTCATATTCCACAACATTAAAATTAGTTTACTAAATGTATGACAAAAAACTAGCTATGATTAAAAAATAAAAGTTGCTACCTGCCTCATGCATTTTCTCTAAATGAAGATTCAATTCCGATTCTTTTAACTGGCTTTTTAGAAGATCTTCATTTAAAGATGATATTTTTTCACAAAACTCTCCTTTGGCAGCTTCAGACTCAGCTATGGCACTTTCCATACTTTGCAATTTCATAACAGCTTCCTACAGACAAAATAAACATAACACATGTGTATATATAACTGAAAGCAAATTTTGAAAGAATTACTTTTAAAATATTATAAAATGATAAAATGTTATACTTTATTTGATTCTTGCAATTCTTTTAATTCTGATTCAATTTTGATTCTTGCTTCTTTTTCTTTTTCAAGCACTTCATTACACAGTTGCAATTTTTGTTCAGTTTCTTGAAGCTTATTCTGTTTGTCTGAGAGGTTGGCCTCAAGTGACTGCACAGTTTTCTCAAAATCAGTAAGCTGACTTTTCAGTTTCTTGTTCTCAATTTCAAGAATTTCAATGGCTTTTGAATGGGATGATTTTTCCTAATATACACAGAAAATGCGAAATCCATGTATAATAAAACTAACATATATTTTTGAACTAATGCATAAAAATTATCATATTAGCCAATTCAGATATTACTTCCTCAAGAAGGGATAAGGACTTTCATAATTATCTTTTTTTTAATTTTATGTTTCTTTTTTTATAATTAATAGTTAAAATGAATATTTCTGAGTATAAATATTACATTTTATCAATCAACTATAAATAACAAAAAACTTAAGAACATGAATCTGAAATTTTATACTTTTTCTTTAATTCCTTCATAAACAGATTCATATGATAATGACACATAAATATATTTATGAAAAGGTAACAGAATTATCAGATGATAACAGTTATTTGAATTTTATATTTTAAACAAAATTTATATATCCATTATTTTTTATTTATGCATTTTCTGGGCTTTTCTGAAGACTTTAATATTTTTATTCCCTTACATCTTACTCATTCTCCTATGCATGTTGAAAATTTTAAAACACAACAGTACACACTTTTCAAATTTTTTTTTTACATTAAAAAGAAAATATCCCACAAAACAATATACAAATTTATTTTCTTAAAATTAGGCAAAATTCAGCTTAGGTACATGTTGATCTTATGGGAAAACCAAATGCATGCTGACAGAGCTCGCAGAACATCAGACACAGCAAAATAATTCAAAATACTACATTTGTTCCTTAAGGATGAATTCATATGCATCCATAAGCATTTTATCTAATTTTAGATTAAGATTGGCATGCTTTTTACTTATAAATCTTTATTTGGCTTCCTCCATAGCACACTATGTTCTCAATTTTTTTTTTTTTTTTTTTTTTAAATAATAATGTAGCTCTATATTATACAGAAAGCAAATACATCTGAGACACAGTTATTTAACAAATTTTTGTTTCAAATTAAGTTGCTTAACAAAAAAACAGCTAAACAATCATTGCTTGATGGGAGGGAGGATGAGAGACTGCCACATTCAAACTGAAAAATCAAAGCAAAATGAAGCAGATCAGCACAAAATTAACACCTTTTTGTTTCTTTTATTCTAGTTTGATGACCAAAGTTAGACTTTATAACTATTTATAATAAATCTAACAATTACATCCACATATAACACAACATGTCTAAGGATGACAGGAAAAATATTCATTTGTAACATATGAACTGACACATGCCTCCAAGATAGCCTAAGAGTCCATTACACATGACAACACTTTTGAGAATTCAGTTAACAGACAGATTGCCCAGGTTTAACTAAAAGCCAAACAGAAATTCTTTGATTCCATATTGAAGAGAAAAAAAAATACTGTGATCTTCTCCCCTTCTTCAGACTACGAAGTGTGGAACTATCTGTGCGGAGCTAAAAGCAGCTCAACACTAGAAGCAATCTTTTAAATGTTCAAATTAAATACTGAATGTGAGAATCAATTCTTTTCTTAGTTCTACAAAATCACACTTTTAGAAAAAGTTGTAGTTGATTTGGGATTACCTGAAATGATGCTGAATATGATAATCCCTTTAGACTTATTAAACTGCAGAATAATGGAAAACTGTGTTAACATAGTTCAATAATTAGGCTACACACTCAGAAAGTAGCATAACTGATATTACAATGAGAGATGTCATAAGACAGCAAACACAGAATTAATACACATATTAAGTCCACATTCAGCGGAGAATTATATTTAGCATAATAACCACTATTAAATAAAAATGAAAAGGAGAGGGAAAAAATAATGACTTTGGAAAAGAGGAATTAGTGATACTTAGAATGAAAAATCATATCTGTTTCTAATTATCACTTTTGGAGTGAAATTGTGAAAAATAAATTTAAAAATATGATAATTAAAATGATACAGAAATTGCTGCTAAAACAGTTAAAAATAAAAACTATTGTAAAAACAGACAAATGTGAATGCATAAGTAAACAGAAAATTTTATAATACAGCTAACAATTAATTAACTGAATAGCATTTTCTACTTTGTATCTATGAGAAACTTACTTTGTGCTTCATCTTATATTGTGATAAAGTAATATCAGGAATATAAAATTTGCTGAGCTTTTTCTGAAATTGAAACCAGAAGTACAAAATTAAGACTAAACCTCAACATAATGAAAGAAAATTAGTTACGAGTAAGACTCTCACAGAACATATAAGGGAAGCCAGAACAGATATTTTTTTTAAACAAAACATTGAAATTGAGTGAAACAAATGCTGAAAAGGAATTAAATAATGAAAGAAACAGATGGAGCACAAACAAAGGTAAAAATACAAGTATCATACATCAGCCATATCACACTGCACAACGGCATTAAATCTACAATTTTAATCACAGATAAGAATGCAAAAAGCTAAAAATGCTTTTTTTTTTTTGCTTCTCTAACATAAGCTAGATTCACATTACCACAATGGGACAAAAAGTTGTAGCCTGGTATAATATGCTTTTCAGGAATGCCAATTCAAACAATAGAAACTTCCATTTGAAAAACTTTCAGTTGCACAGTCTAAAGTAACTTGCATGCATTTAATTAACAGACAATTGCATATTATTCACACTTTTTAAAATAAAACTAGAAAGTTTTTTTTTTTTTTTTTTTTTTTTTTTTTTTTGAAAGATGAAGATTACTGTTATTTAAAACTCTTAATATTTTTATAAATGTATTTATTGTTCCACTACCTGATAGCTTAATTAAATTTTCAGCCAATTAAGTTCACAAGTACTTATAAGCTTCTTAAAACTAAAAAGTTTTAATCAGTATTCCATTTGTGTATCCAACAATCATGAAGTTATTAATGTAAATTTTCTAGTGCTGGTAGGATTATTGGCAGCAGCTGCTAACATATATTTTCAGATTTAAGATATTCTGATACTGCAAAAGACTTCCCATTGCTTGAAAGCAGATAAATCATTTTTTTTTCTTTGTTTGTACCTAATCATTTAAATTAGAATAAAACTGAAATTTCACTTAAAATAGTACTTCACAGATATCACAACATTCATAATCAATTCTGAAGGTGAATGGGGCTTTGAACACTGAAGTGGAACAGCCCACAAGTTTTGACATTCAATCTAATATGATTTAATTCAACATTTATTTAAAAATATTATTTATTCTCAAAGTTTCTCATTTCTAATTAGCAAAATGTCACAAATTTCTAAATAGATACCATTCCTATAGAATAGTTATTTGTTTTTTTATTTTTTTGAGGACGAAATTTCACAAAATAAAGTAATAAACAAATGAAGCCTTTATATATACTAATAAATGCTGTTTTATAAGAGACAGACAAGAAAATGAATTTTTCATTTACATTTTCCAACTTCTATAGTAAATCTATAATTTTGATACACACTTTTTTGTTTATAATTTATATATGCATGATTTAGATCAAATTATATGAGATATAAATTTACAGCACTTATATATGCAGATGCATACTTCACTTAATTTTCATATATTTTAAAAATTGCCACGAAATATCACTAAGATGACCACTCTGGTTTTGAAAGATTTCTGCCATATAATTGTCTTTCTGAAAATGATTGTTGGTAGAGTGATTAACAGTTTGTTTAATGGATTAATCTCATTCAAAGCTTTTAGAGTCTACTCAAATGAGAAGAAAAAGAGCAAGATACAAATTTATTAACAAGATTTATAAAATTTTATTTCACTATTTAGTTTTGTTATCACTTTTACTTTCATCAACTTCTACCACAAAGAAAATTAGTTAAAGCATAAATAAGCTCAGAGTTCTTGAAATCTGAGATAAAGCATTTGGCGATGACACAAGCTGATCATTCACTTTACTTAGCTTCCCCACTTTATCGGCTTAAGATTCTACTAGCCATTATTGCTTTTCAAACACTCAAGAACAATCCAAGGTTTGTTCAAAAATGTTGATTTTTGTATTTTGCATTCAATTTGATTTACACATGCATTGTGATTTTCCCATAAGTAAGCCACTTCTGTTTCAGTCAACATTTTCAATTTGTGCATTGGTGAAGCAAATGTGCTATTAAACAGTTAGTTTAAGTATATATTTTAGTTGCAGTACTTTCAAATAAAAGACACATGACATGATAAATGATCCAGTAGTCTTTACAATTACTTGAGATGATTCTAATAATTTAAAATAATAAAATAACCACAAAAGTTGCAATAATAAAATTATAAAATAATTATAATATTACTAAGAGGGACAGACCTGAAGATTATACCTTCAGGGAGGCTCTTACTGTGGTCAAGATGGCTGTACTCATTGATGGGCATCCTGAAAAACGTTTATCGGAGGAACAGGCTACTGACCTTGAATTTCTAATAACGATGACTACTTTAACATTCTCAAAATTACAGAGTTACACCTGAGCTCTATTAAGGGGCTGTTAGACTGGGCAATCCAAACAAATGAGCTAGGAAGCATCAGGTTTGGTGCATTTGGCACAAAATTTTATTTAGCAGAGGAATACCTGATACCTGACAAACTCAGCCTCCTGAAGAAGATGAAATAATTATACAGACAAGTATTGAATGATGATTGGGGATTTTACATTAAATTTTCTGAAATACTGTAAGCGAATGGCATTTTAAAAGATGAAAAAGAGATTTCATATGGAAAAAGGAATGAGGAAAAAGGAATGCAAAAACCTCACATTTAAATTTTGTTTAGCAATATCATGAACATTTACTGCTCATCAAAATATTCATCTAATGAAATTTGCAAGTTTTTGTTATGAGATAACATCGGCAGCTTTTAACTATATTTTTATATTTATCATTTCTACTTTCATTTTTTCAGACATCTTGGTATGAGATTAACCCACTTAACATCTATGAAAATTAAAATAAATTTAAAATTTAAAAAAAAAAAAAAAAAAAAACTATATGCAGACATGCAATGAACTGAAAACTTTGTAATAAATGCTACTAAATAATGCAATAACATCGTAAACAGAAATTGCTTTGGTACCACCCGACATTGATTTGTTATATTTTAACATCTGCACAAAGAGAATACAAGAAAATTAGCATAAACAGTTTAGAAACAGAATGAATCATTCAAATAGTATTACAACTGCCAAATCAAGCATACATAATACAGTACAAAGTCCGAAATCCGGACTCGTTGGGACTTCGATTCCGGATTTGGGATTTTTGTGGATATTAGATGATCAATTTAAATCTGGTAAGATGGCATGTAGAAATTATACAATTAAAAATATGAATTCGTAATTTATGAAATAAAGAACTATTATGATCTAAAGGGTATCAAATTTACAAAAAAAAGTTTAATATTTATTTGTTTACTTTACTAAACATTTCTTTCAATGTAAGTTGTTTAAGTTGCTTCCACAAAAAATTCAAATAGTTCCTTTTTTCGGGTAAAGTGCAAAATCACCCACTTATTTGTTTGGCGCTTATTATAAGAGTAAGAGGAATTGGATTTTTGTCAATTTTCTTTGACTTTTAAAGTGAAAATAGGTCGATGTGTACATGGATAAAGTCAAGAGATTGCACAATGCCATTTTTGTGCACTTACGAGATATTTTTTTTAAAGTGAAAAATAGGTCGATGTGTACATGGATAAAATCACAGAACTCTAAAAAGAAGTAAGTGCACTGTACTTCAGCAACACTTTTTGATATATTTTTCTAAATGCTTTTACTGTTCAAATTATAAATGCATGGAAGTTCCTACAGCTTATTGATAAAAGTTCTTCATTCGTTACCAAAAAGTCTAGTTTAAAAAAATGGCAATAGAGAAATGAAAGAAAAGAATAGCAAACCCAGCAATAATTAAATAAAACAACAGTCAGTAGTTAAGCAAAGCAAAGGTGGTGTTACATAATCATGTAATTATCAAATAGCTGCAGAAAGTTAAACTTGGATAAGCCTGAAGGATCTCTGGTAATACCAAAACAAACATGCATGAACACATTTCCTGTTAGTTATCGCTTTAAATCTATTACATTACAACACTAGAATGAATTAAGCTTAACTCATATATTATCCTGAATATAAACACCATACTCCTGAGGAAAGGCAATGTTTTCTTTTCCATCAGAATATAAATTTCACAGTCTAATTACAATTTCTTAAAGGAGAAAAAATGCACTTAAAGCTAAAAATCAGAAAAATGACTGTTAAATGACAGATGGAAATCTATGATATTCTGCTGCATATGCCCACATACCATATAAACGTTACCATATAAAAATATTTTGCTTACATCATGTGTTGCCTATTTTGGTGACATAGTGCATTGCCTCATGAATACCTTTCTGGAGGAGGGCAGATAATCAGAAATAATTAAAATGGTTAAATTAAAACTAAATCTAAAAATTCTAGTAACTGAACATTTAAGAAACTTCAGCCTGTTTTCAATAGGATATGTATAGGACAATTTTCAATGAAATCATATTCACAATATTTAAATACGAATGCCTAAAAAATTCATAGAAATATAAACTAAGAAGTTAAATACGTTTTCCTTATATGATTCTACGAATATATTTGAAATGACAAAAAGCTAATGTTTTATGCTCTTTTAATGTATTGAGATAATAGTTACCTTACTTCTCTTTCTATTCTACTAATTTTCTTAACATTCTCATTTGACTACACACATGGAATCTGAAAAGGAGACTTTCTTCTCTGCAAAAACTGAATCTCAGATATGCTAAATCTGTTCTCTTCTCATTTGCAAAGATAACAATATTAAAAAAATAGAAAGAAGGGAGGAAGCTTTTCCTCTAAAACTCTTTTTTTATTTTCAGAATTAGTAGAAAACTATTACCAAAGACTACCTAAAAGTCTCAATTTGCTATCAGAAAGTATCTGATGGGAACACGACACAAAGTCCTTGTATGGCCTATTAAATTTAACACATTTTTTGCTGCATTTCACTTAAACTTATTTCTTCAAATTTCATTACAGATGTATTTCTCATTCAATCAAGTCAGTTCTGACTTTGCAGCAAGGCAAAAATACGTAAAATAGATCAAAGGATCTTCATTAAAAAATAAAACACCAAACGCAGTTTAAAAAAAAATCTTTTTTTTTTCAA